CTTTTCCAAATTGATGCTTAAGACTTTTGGGCGCAACATTCTTCGCGGTAGCCCGCACCGAAAAACGGGTTTTTCTTTGGGAATCGTAATCGGAACTTTGGACTCAAATGTCTGATGCATAAGGTAGTGAGGTGTTGATCCAATGCGGGAGAATGACCTAAGCATCCATGTGGGAGCTTCGAAGGACCTGTCATGCGAGGCCTCTGGGTAGCGANTTGTGAAATCTCACCATAGGTTTTGTGGATGCTTTGTAGTCTACATTTGAAAGATACATTACAGGTGCATTCAAAGTGAAATAATTTTCTGTTTCACAAAGCGATTACGTTCGAAACGCTTTCGATCGCGCCACACTCCTTTAGAGATTAGAGCTAAAGCAAAGTGGGTTCTCTACCCTCACTCAACTTGTGACGATTGGTCGTGTTCCATCGTATGCGAACAAACTGGACCAAACTGATCCGTTGCCTGTTGACAGGGCACTCAACTAGTGTCCTTGAGCTTGGAGCCAATTTTACTCCTCAACGGGGACGGTCGATTTACATTACTGATAGGGAGAGTTCACTAAATCGGTTAACTGTTCTTTTCACTGTTTACATCGAATTTCATTCAATGTCAAGGTTTGAGGGAAATCATCTAGTCAGTAGTCTGTTCCATTAATAACCACATCACAGGTTGAAATGTACGCCACTGGTTATTGTTCGTCATCAGGCAAAGAGCCTGCAGCATCATCTGTCCACCGTCAATGACAATGGCTTCTATGTGTTTTGACACTTGACCTGAATTAGTCATCGTGCATAGTTTAAAATGCATCAAATAAATTACAATCGATTGTTGTCGTTTTTATTTTGCCTCTGATAGTACATCGTTTTGGTTTATATTAGTAACCACTTTCACTGAAGTGCTCATCCTGACGTCAACTGGAACCAGATGCACGTTAGCTGTGTCCGGAGTTTCTGTAGTCTAGTAAGCCAGGAGAAAATCAATAATAGGCTGACGTGCCACTCTAATCCCTCTCAACCATATACGGTTGCGTTTTTTTAATAGATGTAATAAACAAACCCCAGTTCAACGAACCTTGCTCTCCGCAACTGCTCATACACATCCGGTGAAATCTGTGATGGTCGTGGGCACACAGAATGCACACAGTCTGATCAGCATCAGTTCGGACGGAAAACTTTGCTCGTGGAGTTTGGAAATGCTCAGTCAGCCGAACCAATACATGGAATTGATGTATCGACAAACACGAACTGTGGGAGCTTCGTGTATGTGTTTCTTGCATCACGATGTGGATCATTTTCTGGTCGGATCAGAGGATGGCCGTGTTTATACCGGTTCGCGACACGAAAAGTGAGTCTGTTTCTCTCGGCATGAGACGCGTTTGCGTCCATGGAGGCTGTGTATTGTTTAGTGGTTAGTACAGCTTACGCATACCCGTTGGTAGGTCGCCTCAATGTGATATTGATTTTAATTGTTTCCAAGTGAAATTGAGATTTCAGAAGAGCCTCTCGGTTGCTGTTTTTTCTTCAGCGAAAGTCGTGGTCCCTCCGAATGCCTTTCCGGTAGCTGTACGGTTATCGGTGGGCACGAATGCTTATGTTTATAAAAAATAGCTCAGACATCAAACTAATCCACGTTGCCTAAGGTTGTTTGGCTTTCACTATTCTACATCCACTTCAATGTATCTATGGAAATATACTGAACCAGTCAGCGAACGGTGTTCCGTAGTGTATGTCCCCCAGTATGATTTCACCAGCTAGGGTGTTACAAAATCAGTGTGTTTGTTTACTTGTTTACTGGATGTTTAGGGCATTTGTTTTTGCTTCTCACTACAATCACAAAGAGTTGATTGGTTAGCGTGCAGCTTGTTCTCAGCCTATTGTAAGAGGGTTTTGAAAATTCTCCCTTGAATAACATTAACTTTGATGCAACGAATCGTCTCCGATTTCTTCTCGGTTGACCTCTTGATATTTGGCCATCTCGAAATATCGGGTATGCGTATTCATCTAGTATTCATGTTGTCACTTTGTGTAAGGTTAAACGGGCCACAACACACGTTTCATACACTTAAATTGGTGCTGATATTTTGGTGACCCCAAAGCAAAATGGGAGACGCAGCGTCGTACCAGTGAATCACACCAAAACGCATACAATACGGGCTGATTTTCGTTTTCACACATACACACTTTGCTCGCCCTTTTCTTTCACTCATCCCACATTGGCTTTCGCTTCATTCCCGTTCTACGTGAACAGCAAAGCCGGAGTGACTGAATCGTTTGAGGGGCACCAAGCCTACGTGACCTCTGTATCCGCGCATACGACTGAGGGTCCCGTCGACTTTTCCCACCTATTCCTAACTTCTTCGTTTGACTGGTCTGTGAAGCTGTGGTCGACCAAAGTCAAACAGCCGTTGTTATCATTCAACGAGGCAACTGATTTTACTATGGATACNCCCGGCCGTGTTTGCCACTGTTGATTGTACCGGTGTACTGGATGTGTGGAATTTGAATCAGGACACTGAAGTAAGTCGTTGTTTCTCATTTGAGCTTTTGCCTATCCCCGATTGGGTTTCGCCATCTGGTTTTGTCCGACACTGTTCAGTTATTTTCATCCAATTCATACTGTCCCACGATACATATGGAGAATGTACCAGAACACATGGTAAGGTGAATCTAACTTCTCTCAAGTAAAATCGCTCTGTTTTTTCCGAAGCTGTTTCCGCCGGTGAAAGTTGCACGTCTGTTGTGCAACCTTCACATCGACCTGAGCATGGGCAACCTGATATATATATATATATATATATATATAT